GACGGTGAAACAGCCAGGGGGTATGTGGCGATTCCTCAGGTTGAGTGCGCGATGGCGGTAAATCCGCGCGGCGCCTCTTCTTGGCGGGGTCCGCCTCGTCTCCCATCCAAAGCCTGTAAGTTATCTACCTCCCTCGGAGCTAGAGCTTACATAGCTGCGGGCCAGGCTGCTTCCGCCTTGCATGCGATAGCCACCTACCAGCGCTACCAAGCGCAGGCGCTGGCCGAGCTGCACGAGGGTGGGTCCAACCCAGGCTTACGAGCTTCGCACCGCCGCCGACTTAGCTCTTCGGACTACTGAGTCCGCTGCGTGTGCGTTGGGGAGGACGATGTCCACATTAGTGGTCCAGGAGCGCCACCCCTGGCTGATATGCGCAAAGTCGACAAAGTCCGCTTTCTTGACTTCCCCATATCCCCAGCCAGGTTCGGCGACACTGTCTGTGAATTCACCCAGGAATTCAAGGCGGTGAGAGAGCAGTTGGTGGGTGATGTCTTATCGGCGGTCCGTAGCCCGCTCCGCCCGCCGTGCCATTCATACCTGCTCCTCGCCGAAGGCGTCCGCCTACGAGAGCTGCTCCGCCCCCGCACACGCCTAAGGCGAAGCGAGCGCGTCGGGCACCTCGGAAGCAGGCAGCCCCCCTGCCCAGAACGCCGCTAAGTCCGGCAACGGACCGCGAAGCGCCCCTGGGACAGGCCATCTGGAGAAGAGGGAACTTGCTCTTTCCCCGCTGGAGGGCGGGGCCCCATTTCCAACGGCACTTTTTACTGCCATGAAAACATTATGAAAGGGCACTTTTCACTTCCCCAGATGTGACAGCCCGAAATCTGCCAGTCTGGGACGCTATGCTTTCTAGCTTGCAGATTCGGTGCGTTTCGCCAGTGGCTCACGAGCGCTGGGAGGACGGTCTCCTTTCTCCCACCCCTCGAGCCTCCCCTCCGGAGCTCGGGTTTGGAGTGAGAGCAAATATCCCACCTCCAGCTTTTCCGTGGGACCCGCGAGCTTCCCGGATCAGCACACCCACTCCGCGCTGCCCCACTGCTGGTACGTCAGCGATTGTAGCGATGAGTCCATTAGCGAGAGCTCTGCCTGCCTGGTTAGCGCGGGCCAGCTCTTCGCGGTGGCTCATACGCACAATCAGACTCGGCTATGCGATTCAGTTCGCGAAACGGCCCCCCAAGTCACGGGTGTGTATTCACCAGGGTCAGCCCCCTGTCCGCCCCTGTCTTGCGAGAGGAGATTGCTGTCCTCCTGGCGAAGGATGCAATCGAGCCGCTCCCTCCAGCCGAGATGGAGAGCGGGTTTTACAGCCCACGCTTCATCGTGCCCAAAAAGAGCGGTGGGTCACGGCCAATCCTAGATCTGCGCGTTTTGAACCGCTGCCTGCACAAGCTGCCGTTCAGAATGCTCACGCAGAAGCGCATCCTCCGGTGCGTTCGTCCTCTGGGTTGGTCTGCAGCATTAGACCTGATGGACGCGTATTTCCATGTCTCCACTCTTCCTCGCCACCGACAGTTTCTGCGGTTTGCGTTTGAAGGTCGAGCTTGGCAATACAAAGCCCTCCCCTTCGGGCTCTCTCTGTCTCCGCGGGTCCTCACCAAGCCCGCGGAGGGTGCCTCAGCGCCCCTTCGGCTCGCGGGCATCTGCATACTCAATTTCTTTACGACTGGCTGAATTGCCCTCTCTTTTGATTATGCACAGAGTTGATTATGCACAGAGACAAAGTGCTCTGGCACTTCCACCTGTGGGGGTTTCAGGTCAACCGAGAAAAGAGCAAACTCGCCCCCGTGCAGAGGATCTCTTCTCTCGGGCTGGAGCTGGACTCGGTCACCATGGCAGCGCGCCTCTCCGGAGAGCGCGCTCAGCTGATGCTGTACTGTCTGAGAGAGCTCGACAGTAAAATAGTGGTCCCACTGAAACAATTTCAGAGGCTCCTGGGGCATATGGCATCCGCAGCCGCTTCATGCCGCTCGGATTATTCTATATGAGACCACTTCAGCACTGGCTTCACGATCGAGTCCCCAGACGCGCATGGCACGCGCGCGCACACCGAGTCTCTGTTACTGCGCTGTGTCGCCGCGCCCTCAGCCCTTGGAGCGACCCCTCGTTCCTACAGGCCTGGGTGTCTCTAGAACAGGCGTCCAGTCTTGTTGTCGTTTCAGCAGACGCTTCCAACACGGGCTGGGGGGCTGTGCGTTGCGGGCATGCGGCTGCGGACCTGTGGAAAGGTACCCAGTTGCATTGGCATATCGCCTGGAGCTGTTGGCAGTGTTCCTCGCTCTCCACCGTTTTTTTCCGGTGTTGGAGCGGCAACACGTGCTGGTCAGGACGGACAGTACGGCGGCGGTGGCGTATATCAGCCGTATAGGGGGTATGCGCTCTCGCCGCATGTCTCAGCTCGCCCGCCGTCTGCTCCTCTGGAGTCATCCGCGGCTGAAATCGCTGCACGCCATTCATATTCAGGCAAGCTCAACCGTGCAGCCGATGCGCTCTCACGGCAGCCTTGCGTCCTGGAGAATGGAGACTCCACCCCGAGTCTGTTCAGCTGATATGGGCGCGATTCGGGGAAGCCCAGATCGATCTGTTGCTTCCCCCGAGATCGCTCATTGCCAGTTGTTCTTTCCCTGACCGAGTGCTCTCGGCACGGATGCACTGGCTTACAGCTGGCCTCGGGGCACGCGCAATACGCGTTTCCCCCAGTGAGCCTGCTCGCGCAGTTACTGTGCATGGTCAGGGAGGACGAGGAACAGGTTGCTGGTTGCGCCCCTCTGGCTCAACCGGACCTGGATGTCAGAGCTCTCCCTCGCGATAGCCCTCCCCTGGCAGTCCCTTCGAGAGAGCACCTACTCTCTCAGGGACAGGGCACCACCTGGCACCCTCGCCGATCTTTGAAGAGATTTTTAGACGCGAGGAAGACTTAGGTAACCTCCGATTGCGGTGGCTAATACCGTCACTCGGGCTAGAGCCCCCTCCCCGAGCGCGCCTATGCCCTGACGTGAAGTCTATTCACTGAATGGTGTGTCTCTCGCTGAGAAGACCCCCGTAATTTGCCAGATCAGCGTTGTGCTTTCTTTACGCCGAGAGAAGTTGGAGAGCAGGCTGTCGCCCTCCACACTCAAGGTTACGTGGCTGCCATCTCCGCTCTCATAACGCGGTGGCTGGCAGCACCGTGGGAACGCATAACCTCATCATCCGGTTCCTCAGGGGCGTTAAGCGAATTAATCCACCCCGCCCCCTCTTATGCCCTCTTAGGATCTCGCCCTCGCGTCAGATCCCTTCGATCCTCGACTCAGTATATTTCTGTCCCTGAAGACAGCTCTGCTGGTCGCGTTGATATCGATTAGAGGGTCGGGGACCCGGAGGCATTTTTCGGTCAGTGACTCGTGCCTGTAATTGGGCTGGCTTCTCTCACGTATGAGACCCCGCCCGCGATATGTGCCCAAGGTTCCTACCACTCCGTTTTAATACGAGGTAGTGAGCCTGCAAGCGCTGCCCTCGGAGGAGGCAGACCCAGCCCTTATTTATTGTCCAGTTCGCGTTTTGCGTATTATCCGGACCGCACTCAGAGTTTAGATCATCTGAGCAGCTCTTCGTCTGTTATAGCGGTCGGCAGCAGGGAAGTGCCGTACCGAAATAAGTTCCCACTAGATTGTGGATGCCTTCTTTCACTATCAGAGCCGAGATGAGCCGCGTCCCCCGAGAGCGCGTGCGCACTCCACTCGGAGCTTCGCATCCTCTCGAGCGCGCGCACGCGGCGCCCCTCTAACAGACATCTGTAGAGCTGCGGGCTGGGTGACACCCAACACATTTGCAAGGTTTTACAATCTGCGAGTGGAGCCGGTTTCCTCAAGGGTATTAGGTAACCCTTGGTGATTGAGGAAACAATTCGGTAGGGTGTTGAAACACGCTTGCTGCGCCATTTTCCCTAACACGGAGATACGTGCGCCTTTTTATCTGTCAGTAAAGTTCCCCGTCAGGTGAGCCCTGCAGATTCCTCCGTGGCCCCCAGCACTGACTCAGCGGAGGAGTCACTTGCTGGCCCACTACGTTGTAGGTCTGCCCGCTGGTCAGCCCGCGTTTTGGGTAAAGGTGTCTGCTATGCGTGGTCCCCACTAGGCGATCCCATATGCTTATTCAGCCACGGTTAAGTCCCCCCCCCCCTGGGCGGACCCGTGTCTTCCCTCCCCGCTAACCACTCTTTTGCTATGCGTACTCCCCCTTTTTAGGGCTAGTCCATATGTAAATTCTGCCATCTATCCCCCCTTGGGTAACGGATGGCCTCCGCAGCGTCCTCCCTATCGGGATTGCACGCTTCCCAACGTACTGTCGTATTTCCTAGAATTATCTAGATGCTCACGACACCCCAAAAAATATATATAAATCCGTAAAACTTCTGTTGAAGTAGGATAAATTAGGGCCAGGGACACGTTGGAGGACCGCGCCCCCCATGATGTGGGTGCGTCACGCTTGCTTGACTATCTCCTCATCGGGGGTGTTGGTAAGGTGCAGTCATTATGGCGCTTTCAATGGGCTCCCAATGCGTGGATTTTACAATCAAATCCACTTATAGTGCTGAAGTTCCCCCCGAAGGGGAACGTTCGAGGTTACTAAAGTAACCCTTCGTTCCCCGAGGAGGGGAACGGAAGCACTATACTCCGTCGCCATAATGACTGTCCCTTAGCTGTTGAAAGTCTCTTCAGCTTAAAAAGGATAGCGTCTGCTGCGCCAGGTGAGCTTATATACTCAGTTGATTGCTTATGCCGCTCACCTGCGCAGGCTTGCGCTGCCAATTCATTCTTAATTGGCCCGTTCAATACTCTTTCAGACGAGTAGCTTCTGAACCGAACCTCCCAATGCGTGGATTTTACAATCAAATCCACTTATAGTGCTTCCGTTCCCCTCCTCGGGGAACGAAGGGTTACTTTAGTAACCTCGAACGTTCAGTTGCCCCTCACCTCCCGGAACGCTGACATCTCTGTTTTTTTCCCCTTTCTGTTCTGCAGGCCATGGTGGAGACGGTGAATAACCTTCTGCAGGTGCGATCTCAGGCGGCGTGGAGAGAGCTTTCTGTAGCCGAGCAGCTGCGATGCGCAACCATGCTCCTGGACACGGTGGAGACGGGAGCCTTCATGCTCGCAGACAACCTGTTAAAAACAGACACCATACAGGAGAGCACAGACAACATCCGTGAGTTACCAAACATCCTCATCCTAAAGTTTTGGAATCAATCGGTGGTGCATATTTCATTCCTCTAATCAAGTCTCAGTCTTGTGTCTCTCTCTGATTGCTCTGATTTTTCTCCTGTCACAAGAAGACAAATAACAAGTTCATGAACAGATGGATCATTTTTGTGCAAAATGGTGGGCATAAGCAGGAAATTCCTGTTTCTGATACGTGACAGGATAAGAAACATAACAGCTTATGTGATTTTTAGAGGTCTGTCGGAGAATGTGTGCTGGATTTATGTAAAATAGTTCTAATGTCACAGTTACTTTATATACATAATAATTGGCAGCTTTTTTGCATGAATCTTTTAATCATCCATGTAGGGTTTTACTTCCGGCAAATTGTTTTAACGCTTCCAAAAACACTTTCCGCAAGGTGTAAAAATGCATTAACGCATTGCGATGTAATGCTATGTGCATGAAAATTCAGTGCATCCATTATGAGATGTAATATTTATGGTTTATTCAAATAGTACTCATTTTTATTACACAGTGAATCTGAAAAGTATCTCTTTTTCTTTGTTTTGTTACATTGCAGCCTTTTTCCAAAATGTGTGAATTTTTTTTTTTTTCAAAATTCTGCCAACAACATGAAAGAAGTTAGTTTGAAATGTTTGCGTACATAAATATATTACATACAGACACTTCTATACAGCTTAAAGGGACATTTTAACCCTTAACTAGGTTAATTAGGTTAACTAGGCAGGTTAAGGTAATTATATATATATATATATATATATATATATATAGCTTAAAGGGGCTAATAATTTTGACCTTTAAATAGTTTTTAAAAATTTAGAAACTGCTTTTATTCTAGCCGAGATTAAACAAATAAGACTCTCTCCAGAAAAAAAAACATATTATCAGATATACTGTGAAAATTTCCATATATAACACTTTAATGTCTGTAAAAAAATATTAATCTAGATAAAATCCATGCAGAATGGTCAAAGGATTTGGAAGTAAATATTTCAGAGGAATCCTGGAATGATGCATTATTGAGAGTAAATGGAACAACATCCTGTACTTGCTTAAGCTTAATTCAATTCAAGTTCCTCCACAGACTTTACTACAGTAAGGCAACACTTTCCAAGATACACACAAATAAAGCTGATTTGGCTCACATGTTTTGGGCATGCCCCAGACTGTTTGATTATTGGCCAACTATAATTAAAATTGTTCGAAGCATATAATAAAGACATTAGGCCTAGTTTAAAAATGGCAGCTTTTGGAGTTGAACTTGAACAAGATAGGGTCATGTCCAATAATTATTAAGACGCTTATGCCTTATGGCTCAGAGAAAAATATTGCTTGATTGTAAATCAAGTAAACCACCTTTAGTTTCACTCTATTTTAGTGATATGATGCTGTTTTTGAGATTGGAGAAAAGTAAATACTCTCCTACGCTCTACTAAACGTTTTTTTTTACAGTATGGAATCCAATGATGTCATACTTTGAAAAAGGCGCAACACTTCCCCAAAACTAAAACTAATAGGGAAATTAAAAGGTCTATGCTTAAAAGGATAAAGGGCAATAATTGATGTTAAATACTTCCTCACTGTACTATCAAAACTCTTTGTATATGTAAATATTTAATTATATTTAATTATATTATTATATAATTATATTTATTTTATTATTAATTTTATTTATTTATTTATTTATTTAAATTAATTAATTAGTTTATTTATTTTATGTTATTTCTATTTTTTTGAAGAGGTGGGAGGGTGTATGTGGGAAAAAATTTACCTCAAAAAAAGAAAAAGTCTTGTCAAATCTTTGTATTATTTATATTATGTATTATTTCACATTGTTCTTGTTTCAATAAAAATAATATATAATAATAATAAAAATAATAAAATCCTGTGAAAATTCAACAGTATTTTTCTAAAAATTAAAGAAGGGCTAATAATTTTGACTTCAACTATGTGTGTGTGTGTGTGTGTGTGTGTGTGTGTGTGTGTGTGTGTGTGTGTGTGTGTGTGTGTGTGTGTGTGTGTGTGTGTGTGTGTATGTATGTATATATATATATATATATATATATATATATATATATATATATATATATATATATATATATATATATATAAGTATAATATTTTATATAAATCAATTATTTATATTGGGTAGAATTTATTTTGTATATTTTTAAACAGTCCATATGCTAAATTAAAAAAAAAAAATTTCATTTCAAAGGCTGCACATAAACCATGTCTGCTACAGTAGGAGTTTGTATGTAAGACCTGATGCATAAAAAACACATTATCACATTAGAGGTACACAGCAGGAGCGCAAAACTCAAGTGCACTGGCGCCAGATGTAGTGAAGCGTGCCTGTGGAAAACACTAGAGCCATGCACACACAGAGGGGGTCCCGAACTGTCTCATTCATGCAGAGGAATCCAGACCTTGGTTCACAAACTGAACACGAGTGGTCAAAATGTGTTAAGGACAGACAAACATGGCTAAAAAATAAGCACCGATCATTCTTGCCACACAGAATCTTTAACATCTATAGCAGTGGTTCCCAAAGCTGGAGTCACGGGCCATTGACAGGGGGTCGCTTAGTGATTTTCAAAAGTCAAATCAATTTTATTAAACTATTAGAATTACCATATTTTTATCCATAACCCACAGTAGATGAAAATAATAGTTTTTAATATAAAAACAAAGACATGGAAATAAAAAAGCCACCAGCCTTTCAATTATTTTGATCATAGGATTGGTGTGTTTACGTTAATAGCAGCACAGCAATAGCATCAGCTGCAGCAGATTACCAGGCCAGGTTAAACTTTCTGACACCTTTAAGGCAATCAAATACATTAAAGATAAATACAGGCCACAAGATATATTGAGGATGATCTTTGAGTGGCGGTCTCCAAAATTATAGTCTCGATAGGTGAGGTTAATATTAAAATAAACAAATTTATAAATGACTATAACAATTATATGGTGGTTGGACTGTTGCACTTTTTCTGTTGTCAATATGTTGTGTTAATAAAGAGATACTGCTGTGTGTGCAACATTTGTATATTTATAACCACCTTCGAGGAATTTGGGGGTTGCTAGTCACTGGCATTGTTATTTTAGGGGGTCAGGGGCTGAAAGTTTGGGCACTCCTAATCTATAAGAAATTTCATTACACAAAATGTCATTTAAAATGGTTTGTATATATTTTTAGGTCATGTTCACAATAAGTGTTCATAAAAAGCTAAATTTGTTGACTGCTTTCTAAATGGTTTGTTTATGGCTTTGTTTTTTAGCACAACATTGTTTTCGTGCAGATATAAACATACAAAGACAGTACAGGTTCAACATGGCAACGTTTCTCTAGCCTGATGGTATTTATAATTGTGGATCAATACAAGCATTCAAACGTGACATTTGAAACCATTGCTGTGTTAATTGTGGAACACTCCAGCATACTGTTAACTGCTCTCATGCTGTCAGTCAGTGCAGGCGGGAGGCAGTTTTCTCCGAGCTGCTTGGAAATAAATGGGCACTGAGAGACTGTGAGTAAAATAAGAATCCAATCTATAATCAATTAGAAAACCGACTCTAAAAATAATGTTGCAAATGTAGGACAGTGTCAACACAATAACTCTTTTACTCACAAAATCTAGCAAAAAATATGTCAAATAAATGAACATTATATTAACATGCCGCATACTTTTTGAAATTCACAAGATGAACACAGCCTCCAAAACGAAGTGAGATTACAGAAAACATGACTTTCATATTTTCTGGATGGTCTGATATAGTAATTAATCTCCCAAGCTTGACTTCATGCTATCTGTGTATTCTGCCAAACAGAACGACCTAATTAGACAGTAACGATGCATCATAACGGCCAGTTATACAACCAGCCACAGTTCAGTTTATATGCATGACATTTAGAGGTAGGTAAATCTCATTTCAACGCCACAACAATAAACCAGAATGCAGTAAAATAGTAGCAAGATATCACTTTGCATTCTCTGCGAAACATTGTAAAGACAACATAAATTAAATTACAAGCAAGTAGATAGTTTACGTAAAGGTAAAGATTAGAATCTATTATCATGCATTTTGTTTTCCTGCTATACATGTTTCATATATACTAAAAAAAGTACACTTTTAACCAATTTGATAAAGCTACATTTGAAAATTTTTCCCCAAAGTATAATTTAGCGGTAGTCGGCACCAATAGCCTAGTGGTTAAGTGTGCTGACATATAGCACCATGGTGCTCACAGTGAATTGAGTTTGATTCCCAGCTTAGCCGACCCTTCCCCTCTCTTTTCTCCCAGTGCTTTCCTGTCTGTTCTTCACTATCCTATCCCAATAAAAGGTGAACCCCAAACCACCCCCACCCAAAAAAATTAACTTTTTTTTTTTAACTACAGTATATAAGTGAAGTTTATTTATAAACTAATTTCGAGAGGTTCACATGCTTATGATTGACCATGGTGGTACCGCATTCGCTATTATGATTTACCAAACAGACGAATCCAAATGTACATAAATAACCAGATTTCCATAGTCATCTTCAAGTCATCTAAAAGAATCCTTCCATACATACTCCTCCCCCTCTTTCCTAGACTAATCCAGGACAGGGTGGCACAGTGGCTCAGTGGCTAGCATTGTTGCCTCACAGCAAGAAGATCACTGGTTTGAGTCCTGGCTAGGTCAGTTAGCGTTTCTGTGTGGAGTTTACATGTTCTCCCCACGCTCGCATGGGTTTCCCCTAGGTACTCCGATTTCCTTCCACAGTCCAAAGACATGCAGTTATTGTAAGTGAATAAACCAAATTGGCACAGTATATGAGTGTTTTAGTTCTGGGCATTCACCGCATAAAAATATGCTGGTATAGCTGCCGGTTCATTCCGCCATGGCCACCCCTAATAATCAACTGAATAGGCTGAGCGAACGAATTTGGGGAAGCTCTTGAGACCTACCTGAGCTCAGACTCCCCTCTCTCCCA